CATTATTTATGTGACTTTGAATCAATCCATTTTTGGCTAGATTAAAATCAAAAAAGCAATAAGTTACGTAATATTATATAATTATAAAGAAACAAATCCCCAGCCTTTTTGTTTACTATAAAAAAATTTTTCAATATGCCACAATGATCCTTAGAAAAATGTGCAAGAATTTTTACTCTTCTTGAAGAAGGCTATCAAGCTAATATCATTGCAGCTAAAGAAGATGTCTATAAGTCTACAGTTATGAGAATTCATCAACGTAAAGAAGAGACAGGTGGTTTTGAAAATAAAAAAACCAGATCGTCTCTGAGTCATTTCCGTTTACACTGAACGTAAAATTCTCTAACTTGTTGCTTCTAATGAATGTTCTATAGCAGTTGCTATACAAGGTGACCTCAAAAACTATGATAATATTCAAATTTCAGCTGAAACCATATGCAAAACACTTCGAAGAAATAGTCTAGCATCAAGAATTAAAAAAAAGAAGCCTTACCTTAAAAAACACACCGTAAATGTCACTTGAATTTTGCAAAAAAATATTGAAATTGGTCTGTGAAGGATTGGAAGAAAGTAATCTGGTCTGACAAAAGTAAATTCATGCTTTTTGGTTCAGATGAATGCCAGTACTGTTGGAAGAAACTAGGGGAAGCATTAAGAAGTCTTCATGTCAAATCAACGGTAAAATTTAGTGAAGATAATATAATGGTTTAGGGATGCTTTTCAGCAAAAGGTGTTGGCAACCTTTGCATAATTAATGGTAGCTTAAATAGGAAACTTTATTGGCAAATACTTGAAAAAGATCTATAGAATCTATTTCAGATTGGGAATTAAGTATTGATGATGTAATTTTCAACACGATAACGATCCCAAACATATGGCAAATCTTACTAAGGACTGACTTTCTGATAATAAAGTAATTGTACTTGACTAGCCTGCACAATCTCTGGACTTAAATCCTATAGAGCATCTTTGGAACGAAGCTGAACATCGTTTAAGACACCTTCCAGAACGAGCTATAAGAAGAAAAGATCTGTGAAAAAATTACAAGATGTTTAGTTCAGGATTGAGGTCGATGCATGTATAAATTTAATCAAGTCTATGTTGGAAAGAATAAATGATGTAATAAAGGCCAAGGGGGTATACAAGATGGTGAACAGATGTAATTTAATAAATAAATGTGTTAGTGCAAGGATTTGTTATAGTTTTCAGTTTAAACCTAACCGGTTAAATATTGATCGCTAAAAGTCACATAAATAATGCAATGCCAAAACTTAAAAATTGTGACGTAGATTTTTTTCACGTGACTTAAATCAGAAAAAAAAAATATTTTTTAATAAATTTTGATTCAGAGAATATCATAACTTTTTTTTTACTTTGATATAATTTATAAATAAAAAGTTACATTAATTTAAAGTTCTATGTTTAGCGATTGCATTACTTTTGTGAGCCACTGTATATAAATCTAAAAAATTATATTTTCTTATATTTTATAATTTAATTAATAGTTTGAAATATTCAAATTTATAAATCTTTTAAATCATTATTTATAAATTTAAACAAAATTTACTATTTTAAAATATATATATAATCTAAATTACTTTATAAATATTAAAAAAATCACAAATATAAATTTACGGTATATGTAGGATTATATAAGTTTAATATAAAGTTATATAAGATTATATAAAATTTACAGGTCTTTATAAAGTTACATTGCACTTTATAAGTTTTTACTTAAATGTAAAATTATATAAATTTATATATGTAGTTTATAAAAGTTTGTATAGGTTTATATAAAATTGCATAGAAATTTTAATTTTATATTATTACTATTTCAATTATTAAAATATATATTGTATTTAGTCCGTTCAGATTGAGGAATCGAATTAAAAATAGAAAATATATTTGGTATGGTAAAATCGGTAGATACTGATAAAATCTTAAGGATTTCGCATTCGTTTAAACATCTATTATCGCTGATTTCTAAATAATTATAAATTATAAATCACGTGATAAACTCGGGGTGTACACGTCATTATTGCAGAAAGTTATAAAATCGCTCATCACATCCTTTTGCTTTTTCTTTTTTTTTTAAAAAAAAATGGATAATACTATTATATTACCAAATAAGGCAGTTCGAAAATCTAGATATCGTAAAGGGTATATAAAGAAACAAGCTAAAAATATTGATCGAAAAGAACATGAAAATAATAAAAATGTGTCTTTTAATCAAATAGATTATGTTGGGGTTACTTATGAAAATTACAATAGGAAATCATACAAGAAGAATAAGGAAGTTGATAAAGTATGGTTTAGTGGAAGAACTAAAGCGAATACTAAATTTAATAAATTTTTGGTATGCATTAAAAATGAAAATCTTTTTGTAACGATTAATTAATTAATTATTAATTATGTTTTTACAGGTTGAAGGTAATGGTATGAATGTTAATATTGGTAATTTTAATGGAGATTGTTCGGAAGAAATTCATACATCATTAGAAACGTGATCTGATTGTGTTACAGACAATAAAAATGTTGAAAAATTATGACTCATAAATTGATTATGACTCATATGGTACAAGTTACACGCCGAAATTTTCTTTCAACCAATATTTTCCTTTTGATCAATCTTTTTTTTTTTTTTTTAAGAATTCTAGCCTATTTTTTTTTCTTTTTTTGGTTTTCCTCGATTTATATAAAAAGTCAACTATGTCAGACGCAGAATACGATCCAAACGATCAAAAATTGGAAGAAGAAAAGAGTGAAGAAGAAGTATGTTTCAAATAAATTTATCTAAGACCATGGTGAATTTTATTATTAACTTTTTACTTTCATATTATTTAGTTGCTGTTTGATCCTAGTCTGAAAAAGAAAAAAAAGAAAAAGAAAGCTGTAGTTTTTGAGGATGAAATAGAAACCAAAAAGGACACTGAAAATCAAACAGAAAATGGTGATAAATCAGGTATGATAGATATGATAGACTTTAGTTTACGTTTTTGGACGCAATTCAAACTTATATACTAGTTTTTTTAATTTGATCTACTCTTTACTATAGTATCAGCCGAAGGTAATGATAATGAAGAAGCAAAGGCAGAAGATGATGATGACATTTCAATATTTGCCGATATGAAGAAAAAGAAAAAGAAAAAAAAGGAAGCAACAGATGTATATAAACATTTTGTATTTTTTGTTTTTAATTATAATTATTTTCATGATGATTTACCCGCGTATAATTCCGGATTTGTAAAAGGCGGAAGAACCCCCAGTAGAACCTTCTGATGATTTACCAAAGAAAAAGAAGAAAAAAAAGACAGATATGTTAGAATTTGAGAAACAATTAAAGGAAGGTGAAGAAAACGAAAATCGGCAAGAAGATGAAATATTTGTTGTGGAAGGTGAACAAGATACCAAAGAAATTAAGATTGAAGAAACCTGGCTCAGTTCAGATCGAGATTATACATATCAAGAAGTATGTATAAATTATATTTTTTTTGCTAATTACGTTAATCTTTATTAATTTTTTATTTCCATTAATGAATTATTTAATTAATTATCATATAGCTTTTGGGAAGAGTCTTCCAAATCCTTCGGCAAAATAACCCTGAACTTGCCGGTGAAAAGAAGAGATACACGATCGTACCACCATCAGTTCACCGTGAAGGAAACAAAAAGACGATATTTGCAAACGTTGCGGACATTTGTAAGAGGTAAGTTTGAAGTTAATTTTTTTTTCCCGGCTACAACTTTATTTAGTATTTTAATCCTATTATTTACTACAGGATGCACAGACAACCTGAACACGTAATTCAATTCTTATTTACTGAATTGGGTACAAGTGGTTCGATCGATGGTTCACAACGTCTAGTCATCAAAGGTCGCTTTCAACAAAAACAGATTGAAAACGTATTGCGTCGATATATAGGTATGCATTTTCGAATGGTTCTATATTACAAAATTTTTTATGATTGAAAATGATAAACTAAAATGATACAATTTCATTAAGTTGAATATGTTACTTGTAAGACCTGCAAGTCTCCTGATACAATCCTTACCAAAGAAAATCGTATTTTCTTTCAGCAGTGTGAAAGTTGTGGATCAACGAGATCAGTTTCAGCAATTAAGTCAGGTACGCCATTTTTAATATTTTACTATTACAACCTTAAGGTGGTGAAATTCTTTTTTTAATATCTATTATTACTTTTTCCATACCCGATACACAGGTTTCAAAGCACAAACGGAGAAGAGAAGACGACAGGTTGCCCAATAATAATAATAATAATAACCATATTTTTCGGCATTTCTAAATAAATTCTTCCGATCCACTCAAAAAAATTTTTATTATCATTTTTAATCTCCTACTTTATTCATTCTAATCCAATTTTCGTTAGTATTTTAATTGATTTTTAAAAAAATGGGTAAAATCATGTATATATAATTATCAAACATTGGACATATTTTTATTTGATTAAAAAAGGTTACACTTAGAAAGGGTTGGATCTGGCGGAGTTAGAGAAAGTAGAGAAAGGAATAGTCAAATGGTGATGATAATAAAATTGTCTCATAGAGCTACAAGTTAAGACATGTGATTTTATTGAACTATCATTGTTAATCAATAATATTATTATCATATTACATACAAAACTGAATGGATAATTTTGATATACGATCCTCGCAAATTCTATTCTATTTTCAACTTTATTATCCAGAAAAGTTTATTTCAATCTGATAATAAATTTTTTAAAGTTATCTTAAAACGTTCCTGTTTGATTCGCTTATTTACCGTCTTTGATGTAGATCTTATTCAATTACAATATAATTATAAATAATTTTTTTGATCTACAAATTTCCCCGGAAAAATTTTCTCTCTTTACATAATCAATTTATTTTATATATCAAAAAAAAAAGGTACAAATACCCTTACTTCATTTAATTGATTTTACCCTTGCCTTTCAAAAGGCCATAAAAATTGAAATATAAAACGATTAATGAAAGTTGGTAAGAATTATATAATGAAACTCGATGAAATCATATTTAAACATTTTTTAATAGCATCAATTTCATCGATACTTTCTTTTAATAAATTTGAAGCCTGCCTACAGTTTAATCCAAAAATTGGTGAGGTTGAAAGGAATCAAAACTTCGCATCTAGCATACTGGAGAAGTATGTTTCTTTGATTTTAAACAAAGATCCTTAATCCATTTTTTTTTTTTTTTTTTTTTTTTTTGATTCATATTTGAAATTCTTGATCTCAAATTAGATATCAACCGGGAGATATAGATATTTTGATTCTTCCCGAATTGGCCTTCACCGGTATATATAAAATTCTCTTACTAAATTCTTCAAATTAATATTAAAAAGATATATTTTTATATTAGGTTATGTTTTTAATGATAAGGATCATATTAAACCGTACTTGGAAGACTCGGAGACAGGAACTTCTGTTAAATGGGCCAAAGCGCAATGTTAGTTTTAACATATATAAATAAAATAAATATGTATATTTATTTATCCGAAATTTTTCTTTTTTTTTATCAAGCTATTAGATTACGTGCATTCACCGTAGTTGGATATCCGCAAATCGTAAAAGGTAACAATTAACAATAAATTTTTTTTTTTTTATCGATTACATTATAACAGAAGTTTGCATAATCATCGATTCCATTAATAGGAAATCCAGATAAATGCTATAATAGCTTGTGTTTTGTTAACCCTTATGGCGAGCTTATCGAAACGTATCAAAAAACTCATTTGTACGAAACAGACGAAAGTTGGGCCGAAGAAGGTCCTGGATTTAAGTCAATAAACGTCCCCGGCCTGGGAAAGGTATGTTTCTTTTATAAATTGTAATAGCATTATGAAAATAATGTTAATGAATCCAATTTCTTGTAACAGATCGGTTTCGGCATATGCATGGATCTCAATCCGTATCAATTCAAAGCTAGCTTTACAAAATATGAATTCGCTCGTTATCATATTCAACATCAAACAGAAATTATATTATGTCCAATGGCCTGGATTAGATCCGAATATAGTCAACAAATAAATGTCGATAAGCCGGAATATAGAACCGTAAATTACTGGTGTAATCGATTATCACCCTACTCAACAAATTCAGGACCTAAACGTAATACGCTATTCGTTGCGTGCAATCGTACAGGAACAGAGAATGGTTTGCAATTGGTTTAATATTATTACTTTCCCTAACTTTCACATTTATCATTTGTTAAATCTTAAAAATTTCGATTCTCTTGTTAAATGTAGGTATTTGTTTTGCGGGAAGTAGTAGCGTTCTACTATTATCCTCCGAGCACCCAATTGTGTTGGATTCGTTGAAATCTAATGAAGAAGCTGTTATGGTGGTTGACGTGCCACGCTTGTAATATCCGATATTAGTGTTTTCCTTCTTTTTATTATCTAAGTTTATAAGCAATTATGTTTATTTTCTATTCTTATTTATTTAGCTGAATTTCATAGATAAACAAAATTTATATATATATTTTTTTTCCCTGTTTATTATTTTTTTTACTACCTACCTGTTTGTTCGAAATTTATTATTATTATTTTTTTTTTTTTTTTTACTGACTACCTGTTTGTTCGATATTTGTTATTATTTTTTCTTTATTTCCTACCTGTTTGTTCGATATTTATCATTATTTTTTCTTTACTACCTACCTGTTTGTTCGATATTTATCATTATTTTTTCTTTACTACCTACCTGTTTGTTCGATATTTATTATTATTTTATTTTTTACTAACTACCTGTTCGATACTAACTATATGTATTATTTTTTTCTTTTTACTAGCTGTCTATTGTTCGATATTTATTATTTTTTTTTAAATTATATGCCATTATTTTATTTTTGTACTTTATTTTTTATATATTGACTCTCCCACAATACTCCCCTGTCTTTGCTTTATATAGGTTATATAAACATAAATCTAAAAAAAATGGTTAAACATACCTTTCTCAATATTTATTTCTGCATTATCTGTGAAATTTTTTACATCTTGCTTTTCACCTTTGAATTGTATAAGATGATAATAAATAACACATTAAAAATTTTTATTCATATTTCCCGTTGCGATGATACATCTGTAATATTAAAGAATGGATTTATAATTTTTTAAATTGACAAGTTATAGCTCAAATAATGATAATATACGATACTTTTGTTCACGAACTCGAGGGTCAATTTTCTTCTTCTTGTTATCAATTCAGATACGGAATTGACATATAAAATTTAAATTTTTATCGTTATATGTATTAGGAACATCAGACATCTTTATGAAATTACGAATTTAAATACAAGATGAAATAAGAAAATTAGATAAAAGCACAATAGGCACTTTTTTTTTCATTTCGATTCATTAAAAACGAGCAATGTTACGTGATTTTTTTACTATGAACTTGAGGTACCATAAAAATTTCACTACACTTGACCATGTAAGTTTGTTTTCGTTCAGTATTCATAGACCGATATTTTTTTATTAAGCATAACAATATAATAATTATATAAATTTTAATTATTATCGGCAATATTATTTTTAATATTAAAATTCACTTTGTATTAAAGACAATAAATGTTCCGGGTTGTCATAGAAATTTCTAATGAATTATTATTGGATTCAACTAAAAAATGATAAAAGAACATTAGTATAATTTTAACTTAAGCTAAATTAAATATATTTAAAAAGTATACCCTTTTTAGCAGTCATGAAATTATTCAAGTTACTATTTGAAGAATTATATTTTTAATATTAGTTTTTAAATATTAATTGTTAATAAATTTTTTCCTTTATTTATGTATTTTTTGTTTACATATCATTCATTATATTTATTTGTTTTCATTTCTTAGTAATTTATCCTTTTTCAATTTGATGTTATGATTTTTGATAATGCATTTCTCATTTCATTGATTTAATTTTAGTTTAAAAATATAAATTATTAATAATCGAGAAATTAATGATTAAAATCCTATTTTTTTTCATTATTTTAGCATTTTTAACTCTAATTAATATTGATTTTATCCTGATCAAAATTTTGTTCATTTGCTATTAAGATTATTAAATAAAGAATAAATTTTTGATTATATAAGTTATAAATATAATATAAAGAATATCATGTGAATAAAATTTCAAATTATATATGATTATTTTTAAAATATATAAACAAATATAATATTAAATTTATATAATTGAATAGATTTTTTACTTTATATCACTTTTGTATTATTTTTATAATGCTAATCTTTTTTATAATAGATTTATAAAAAAAAAAACTTAAATAAATATTAATTTTCTTAACATTTGCTAATATTTTTATTTTATATATTAACACACTCATTTTAAAATAAAAAATGATATATTAGTAATACTAAAATCTAAAACTTATTTAATTTATAAAAAATTAAATTTAATAAAATAATGATAAAAATTTTATATTATTAAATAATTTTATTATATAGAAGTTTTTAAATATTATATTATATATTAAATTATTTAATATTAAATAAATTGAATCTATAAAACTTTTATAAGTTATCAATAAAAATGGCATTATAATTAATTAAATTGCAACTTATGATGCAATTACAATTACTTATGGTATAATTAAATTATAACTCAATTAAAATTTAAAAGTAATTATAAGAATCATCTTTAGTTATAAATATAATGTATACTATAATATATAAAAATATTATTTAATTTGAATTACAAGTTATTAAAATATTTAATATAAAAAATAAAGTATAAATTATTTTAATTATTTTAATTGCTATTTATAATTAATCATATAAATAGGACCCTGAACAATCTATGTATAAGTCAGATGAAAATTTCAAAATTTACTATAATTAATAAGCAAATTATTTTCAACTCTGCTAAGCAAACTCTCATTATAACTTAAGAAAATTTGACTCTGCTAAGCAAACTGTTTTGTGACTTATATATATTAAGTAAAATTTGTA